GAGAGAGACAGATTTGGGGTTCAGAATGTGGGAGGGCAGAGAAAGCGGGGGGGGGCGGAGTGGCCCTGCATATTTAACTGCCCGGGCTGGAGAGCCGGGCCGCAGCCAGAGCGAGGTGGGAACAGATGGCAGGAGGCGCAAGCAGATAAAAGGCATCATGAATAGAGGCCGGGTGTTTAACTGGATGGGCGAGGGGGGGAGGGGCGGTTCTCCTGCACCCCACCCTGGGGACAGAGGCCGTGGGGGGAGGGGTTGTGACCCCCTTTCCTTCTTGACTCCTTGGGTGCCAGAGTCGAGTTTCCAGGGGAGTCCCCAGCCCAGGGAAGAATCGCCCCTGTAAGGCTGGGCTGGGGGATGCAGAGAGGAAAGTCGGGAGGGGCTGATCCCAAATACCCAGCTGGCCTTTGACAGTTCCCTCCTGATTTCTTTCCTCCTGCATAAACAGAGGGTCTCTCTCTCCCCGCCCCCCCTTCTGTGAGCTTGGCCAATGGCAGATCCTTGGCTCCTTCTCCAGAAGGCCTGTCTCCAGTCTGAGGCCTCTAGGTCAGAGCTAAATTTGTCTCTGCTTTTTAATTTCTTGTCTTAAAAAAAAAAAAAAACCTCTTTAGGGTGGGAGCAAGTGGCCTTTCAAAAGCAAACAGGACCTGCCAATCAGCGTGTGAAATAGACCTACGGGCAGCTTAGACGGGGGCATCTGGCCCATTTCTGAATTCCCAATAAAGTTAATCATGGCATTTAAAAAAAAAAATCAGGCGCTGGGAGGAGGGTTGAAAACGAAAGAGCAGGGCGCGCTAAGGAGGGACGTCGCATGAGGAAGATAATGTTGTAGGATATAATAACGTGCAACTTTTACAAGCCCAAAATTAAAGCAACTGAGGGACTGGGAAGAAACCCGGTTTTCCCGGAGGGTGTTTTGAGCTGGATTGAGGGATGAGCGAGGGGAATGGGGGGAGGACAGAGGCTGTCTGACAAAGGCTAGTCACCGTATAATACGTGGTAGGTTGGTCCAATTGTTTGCTATTTCCATGTTTACTTTGTTGATTTCAAGCAGTGACAAAAAAGAGGGGGTGCAAGCGGAGGTGGGGGGGCTCTATTTTGCCCCTTTACAAATCAAATACATTGGCTGATATTTTTGTAGACTGGTGTAAATCAGCGTAGTCCCATTGACTTCAGTGGTCACTGTTCTCAGTCATCTTGTCTTGCCTGTCACCCTTTTTTCCCCTAGCTGGTACATGTGGAAAACATCAACAGTCACAACCTGGCTCTGACGTCAGAGCCGGGTCTTGGGTCTTTTCATTGCTCTATGGGGTTCAAACTTCGGGTCTAACCCCAGCCTGAGAGGGGTTTAGGACCGGCAGGCAGGACGGGTTGAATGTTACCAACACACCACAGATAAACAATCACGCGGATTTCCACTGAACCAAGAGGGTCCCCTTAGGTGCGACTAATTATTTGATCAAACGCAAACGCAAACAATTTAAACGCAAGCCGGCAAACAGAGAATGCTCCGGGGCAAGAATGTTGTGCTCTCAAAAACCCAAAGCTCCTTACGTAACACCGATATTTAAATGATTTAAGGGGGTGAAACTAGCTTCCCTTACGAGGCTGTCCCTGTGGGGGGAAGATGGAGCAAGGTGGCACCGTGCTAACATGACCCCAACTCAGGGCTGGTTGTTTTCACTGGCTCTGTAGTGCTAGTTAAATCCGAGGGGCTGAGATGCGCTTCTGGGTTTGGCGAAGCTGATACATTCAGGGAATCAAAATGGAGCATCTTTGGGAGGAGAGGGAGCCGGGGCGAGTGCGAATCCAATTTTCCAAGGGAAGGCGTGAGGGAGTTTCTCACTTCTGATGGACTAGATCCTTCTGTATGTCTGTAGCACCCACAGGGCCGGGCAGTTTAGGGGTGAAGGCAAAGTCCAGGCCCTCCAAGAGTTTACGGGAGTTAAGACGCAGTCCAGCGGCATATCGGGGTAGTGCTCTCTGCCACGAGGCCGGCCAAGGGGGTCCTCAGCACGACACCTGCTCGCCGAGATCAAGCAGGACCGAGTCCTAAATAATTACAGTCCAGGTGGCTGGAACGCTTTGCTCTAGCCCCAGCTGCTGGGCTGGGCTTTTGTTGTCCTGTCCATTGAAATGGCCTGGGAAGGGAAGATTTCCAGCCGCAGCAGAATCTGAATGCAAAAGAGCTGGGCGGTTTGAGACGAAACAATAAGAGGCTTTTGGGTTGGATTTTTTTTTTTCAGGACAGTTTTCTTGGTCCCGCGCCGGCTCCAGATTTAGGGCCAAAAAGCCCAGGGAGGGGTAAGGAGATGGAATTATTTTCACCCCAGTAAGTGCTGAGCTCTGAAGTGGGGAGGGGTGGCTTGTCAAGCAAAGGGCTGCAGATGGAGCGGATAAAGGATCCGAACGTTAAGGCCTTGACCCAAAGGCATGTGTAGGTCCCAGGTCTGGGAGGGCCTTTGCATCCTTATACTCTTCTGGCTGCACTGGGCCTTGGCTCGCACGCTGTTGGCTGGATTACAGGGCAGATTTCAGATGCCTGGTACCCACCCGCTTTGCCAAAGGGCTCAGCACCCTGCCTGCCCCTGAGCTGGGCATGGAGGGGCCAAGCCTGTGGCATGCTGGGGCGCCCGGAGTCCTGCACAGGGCCAGGCTGGGGTCATGACTGCAGATCCCAAGGTGCAATACCCTCTCTCACTCCCGCTGGGCAACCCAGCAGCAGGGCCCTCGCCCTGGCATGGAGCCATGCCAAGAGCCAGGCTCTGCCAGGCTCACCCCACTGGAGGCTCCCATGGAGCACAGTGAACCTCATGCCAACTCGCCTGGCGAGGGCAGGATCAGGCCCCCCACGGAGGAGAATGCTGACCCGCCCCTTGGGGGGAGGCCACTGCCCCTCCCCCAGTACAACCCCGTCATGACCCTCCCCAGAGCAGGGCGCGCCCAGTCACAGGGCCCAGACTCAGAGCCGCACCCCACTGGGCCCGCAGGGGCTGCCGGACCCCAGTCCCCAGCTCTGGAAATGGCAGGTACGGCCTGGGGTAACTGGCTCGGCGAGCGCCCACTTAGAATGATACAGTCAGGCAGGGAGCGTCTCCCTCTGCCTCATGGCAGAGGTGTGGCTCTGGCGGCCCCGGATCCGGTCCCCCATGCTGCCCCCTGGGCGGCTTCCTCTTTCCCAAGGCGGGTTCTAGTGGGCTAGCAAGGCAAGGGTCAGGCTGCCCGTCCCTGGGCACGTCTCCGGGCTAGCGGGCCCAGGAGGAGGGCTAAGCAGGGCAGCAGCCCCTGGCAGGAGAGGGAGCCAGGGAAGTAGCAGGGCTGGCGTGCAGGAGATCTGGCTGCAACGTCTCCTTGGCCGAGGAGCCGGCGGCTGCACCCTGACCCATGCTGAGTCAATCCTTCACCAATCTCGGTGGGGTGACTTGGGATGCAGGCATGAGTCAGAGCTGACGGAAGGGATCCAGCCCTTACTCACTGCGTGCCTCAGTTTCCCCATCCATACACGGGAGCTTCCCTATATGAGGGTGGGTGTAAGACTGGAGCCAGGGTGGCCTGTGAAGGGCCCAGGGGCGGGGAGAGGGGGAAGCTGATGGCTAGGAGCTGCCACAAGCAGGGGTCTGGGACAAGGCATGCTGCCCCGGGTTCCACCCTGCAAGGGGTGGCTGGTGCACACGCTCCCGCTGGTAGAAACGGGCAGCCGAGGCAACAGGGGGTGATGCTGGCTCCACTCCCGTTGAGGATCAGCCCCCTCCCCTCCCCTTCCCCCGCCCGCTCTCCATGTGCCCAGCGTCCCTCGGGAGCAGCCGCAAGGGAGTGGACTCCTTTGGCAGCTGGCAAGGGGGCACCTCGCTGCCCTCCGCCGCGTTCTCACTGGCAGGGAGCTAAATTTAGTCTCCGGACTCCAGCGAGGAAGGAAAAGAGCGTTTGGCTCATGACTATTTTACAGCGCCGGTCTCCCCGGGCCCCGTCCGAGCGCTACACATGGCACGAGCCCAGGCGGCGAACACCAGCGACAGCGCACGCACCCCTCCCCCCGCGCACGCTCCCACTGTGTGACCAGCACTCTTGAGGCTTGCTCGGCGCACGCTCGCTGCGGGTTCAGCGAGAGAACGAGCAGCGTGGGGGAGGGAGAGGAAAGAAGGGAAGTGGCTCTTCAAAAAAAAAAGGGAGTGGGACATAGTGGTTAGAGCAGGAGTCTGGCAATTGCGACGCCTGGGTTCTGTTCTCATATCTGGGGGAGGGGGAGGAAGTCTACAGCAGAGGCCTGAGAGTCAGGACTCTTGGGTTCTGAGCTCAGCCCTGCGGCTTTTGCCCAGCATGCGGTCTGTGCCTCAGTTTCCCCTTCTGTTGCATGAGGAGGAGGCAAGTTAATTCCTGTGTCCCAAGTGGCTTGCAGTCCTTGGAGGAAGGGGGAAGGTCACAAGCAGGGCACTCAGGGGCCGGAAACATTAGCCTCTCGACTTTCTGGGGCAGCTTTCGGAGGGACCCTCCTGCAGCCTTTCAGAAGAGCTCAGCTCCCTTTCAGGTATCTAAGCAGGGAGCCAGGCCAGCAAAACTCAGCATGGCCATGGCTGCAGGGCGTCCAGAGGAACCAGTCTACCCGCCTAGCGCATCCCACTAGGCCTGCTGAGTCCTTGGGGAGCCCAGCATCTACGATAACGCAGCGTGCGGAACCCCGGTCTAAGGGACGGGACTGACCCGGCTCAGGGCTATTGAGTTTGTCCAAGAGAAGGTGAAGGGGGAGGGGTGATTTCTAAAGCAGGCAGCTCTTTCCCCAAACAGGCAAACCCACAAGAAAGGGCCGGACGGGGAAGCCACACA